TGTAGGCACAATTAAATGCTGTATTAAGCAGATGTTTCCCACCCTGTGATTAAAGAACATTTTTTGCTAGCAGCAATAGCTACAGCTTCCATGGGGACACCTATACTTCATTCAGTTCTGCAGTAATAGATCACCAGTTACAGTAAGATTTCAAGTATGTGTAGGAGATAAGACATATAATTTATGCTATTTAACAATCTGTGGAGTCTTTATCTATAAACACAGAGACTTTTACATGATTTACAAACCAAACATATGACCTGCTTTAGAGTACCTGGCGCTTGCTTGGAAAATTGTTTATCAAACTTCTTGAACACTATGGCTGAGAGTCTGCAGAAATGGGACTTTTGGAGACATGGACCCAAACGTGCATACATCACTCCTCTCAGTTATGCGACTCATAGACTAAACACATCTTCCTTTGGTGTTAAAAATGTCCAAACATTATCAGAGGCTGTTTTTTGCAGGGTTTTGTTATTTTTTACATGGAGACATGAGACTGCACCTTTCTAGACTTTTGACAAATATTCACATACACAGTGACTTGCTAACACATGGCTGCTGTGTTTCTGATTATCTTTCAGGTGTGGGGTTTCTTTTAAACACAGGATAATCCTTAATACTGTGTTTCCAGAGTAATCCCTGTGTGAAGAGTCAATAATGCAGGCCTTTGCATCTGAAAAAGATTTGAATTAGAAATTTATTATAATAACTTCTAAAACTACTTAGAATCAATCTGTGGTTCCAAAGGAAAATCCTGCTCTCTGAGATAGTCACAAAGCTTGACTTAAACTTTTAAACTGTATCATTGCCAGAGCAGCTCTACAGAATTTTTTAGCATTTCCAGAATTATGTTATATTCCATATCTGACAAAAAAGCCACTGTTTCTAATAGAATGGCAGTTTAAACATTAAAAAACATTACTAAGAAAAAAGCAACTTTTCATTTCCGTACTTCAAAATTATTTTTTGTAAGAACTGTTGAGATATTCAATTTTGAAAAGGAGTAGCTTTTGCTTTCTATCATATTTATACTCTTTTCAATAATAATAATAATATGAATATGGATGATATTAGGTATAAGCATTAGATGATCAGAAATGTTAGTGCAAGTGAAATAAGAAACTGCAGCTAAACAAAATCCTTTGTTTTATTGAAATCAAGTGTTTAGACATCGACATGAAGTGAGAGATTTGAAATTATTTGACATAGTTTCATTGAAAATGTCACTGAATTTGTGACATTATTATGAAACATTTCCATTTCACTGCAGCTGTATTTTGCTTAGAAAACTAGTGAAGAAGTGATGATTGCATTTTTCGGGCGGAAGCAAACAGATGGTTTTTATTATCAGTAACAAACAACTTTTTTTTTTTTTTTTTTTTTTTTTAACCTCACACAATTTTTTCTCAAAAAAAATTTTTTTTCACTGCAGCTGTATTTTGCTTAGAAAACTAGTGAAGAACTGATGATTGCATTTTTCGGGCGGAAGCAAACAGATGGTTTTTATTATCAGTAACAAAAAAATTTTTTTTTTTTTTTTTTTTTTTTTAACCTGCAGCAATATTTTCCTAGAAAAAACTTATCTATTAAATATGAATAACATATTATTCAGTTTAAGATGTAATTACCCAGTTAATAATTTAGATATACTGCTCATATCCATAATATTTGCTGTGTTTTATGGGAACATACAGGTTAACGTTAAAAACATTTGACCCATTATGTACATTGCCTATCTGGGGAAGTCCTATCTTGCTTCTTGTCTGCCTACAAATAAGTGAGCAAGCTTGTCTGAAGCTGATTTCCCTGAAATATTTTCCCTTAAGTTCTTATTAATAAAACCTGCACCCTTGTTTAATTTTAATGTTTTTAACTGTGTGAAATTGTTAAAACCTGCACCCTCTTCTGCTCTTTCTCTGCCTCTTTGCCAGTTCAGGCTCTGCACATGCTAACAACTGAGAAAACCAGGACCTGCCCCTGGGAAGTGGGAGCTGTGAGAAGATCAGCTAGGGACATTTAGAACATTTTTAGTAATTAAGCAGCCAAATGTTTGGTAAACATTAATTATTGAACTCCGTAGAAATGTGTCGAAAAGATAAATGAAATTTTAAAAATGGTTTTATGTTTTAAATAAGTTAAACTTTTAAAAAGTTAAGTAAGGATCAGGAAAATGTCATTCCTGAATGTGTCTTTTAGCAAATTTAGTTCTTGCTTCTTTGTCTACACCTGAATATCATATATAACAGTGGGAGGTGTTTCTGCCCCTGACACAGAATTGGAACTAGATGATCTTTAAGATTGTTTCCAACCCCAACCATTCTATGATTTTATAACCATGCATAGATTCTAGATAAACTATTTATTTATTTTAGCTTTTAAAGATAAAGGCAGAAATAAAAATAGCTTACCAAAATGTTTCCAGACGATCAAACTGAAATGTGCATAATTTAACTGGAGCACCTCTCCTACGAGCACAGGATGAGAGGATTGGAACTATTCTGCCTGGAGAAAAGAAGGCTCTGGGGAGACCTTATAGCAGCCTTTCAGTGCCTGAAGAGGCTACAGGAAAGCTGGAGAGGGACTTTTTACAAGGGCATGTAGTGATAGGAATGCGGGTAATGGATCAAAACTGGAAGAGGGGAGATTCAGGTTTGACATTAGGAGGAAATTCTTCAGTGTGAGTGAGGGTGGTGAGACACTGGTCCAGGTTGCCGAGGGAAGTTGTGGGTGCCTTATCCCCTGGAAGTGTTTAAGGCCAGATTGGACAGGGCTCTGAGCAACCTGATCTTGTGGGAGGTGTCCCTACCCATGCAGGGGTGTTAGAACTAGATGATCTTCAAGGTACCTTGCGACTCAAACCAATTTATGATTCCATGGGATGAGAAACACTGAGGTTTTGCTGTGATTTCTCTAGTAATAAAATCACAGTGTATATGAGACAGAACATACATTTTTCAATTAGGGCAAAGATAACTGTTCACTTAATTATTATAGACTGCTGCTATTCTCTGCTACTTAATTGCATTGTTGCACCAGGCCTTTGCAATTTATTTGAATTCAGTATTATTATTACAGGTTGAATAACTTTTGCTTGTGAACCATATATCTAAACACAGATTTCCCTTCTATGCCCTTTAATGAAGCTGCAGTTGAATCAGATAACATTTTTATTTAGTTCAGGAAAATGGGAAACTATTTCTCATTGCTCATTGTGTGCTCAGATTCCAGCACAATGGAATTGTGAGTGACAGGCTTCATTAAATCAAATTCTTCCTTAGTTGAGATATTATACAGTAGAAAATAAGACAAGAAGATGTTTGTGTGCAAAGCGGAGGGGCTGCAGGACCTCAGGGAATGTCTTGTCTGCTACTAGTTATAGCCCAGGCAACAGGAGGTATCATGAACAGGCACCTTCAGCATCAGCAACATGTCTTTGCTTATAATCAAACAGCATCAGTGGTTCAAAATAAATAGAACAAAAAGGTAGCATGGGTATTCAGTCCTATGCTAGGCTCACAAAAAATTATGGGTAAGCACACAAAACATACATGCAGATATTCTCTGATTCTGCCCCTAAACTCAGAAAGAAGAAATATTCTCCACAATCCTGCCAGACATTTTTCTGCAGTGTAAACTAGAAACTACAAATCCCTTTCAACTTCATTAGTTATTAATTAAAGAAGAGAGATGGTTTTATCAGGGAAGTGTCTTCCTTGATAACACATAGTAGGTCCTCTCTGACATCACTACTCCATGGACTGAAAATTGATACTACTGGCATGCTTTTTGACAGTAAATGAATGAGATGATCACAGTATTATAGCAAGTGTGAAAAGAGTGGAAATGCAGAAGATAAGCACCTTTCACCATGGAGAACCTCAAATCCAACTGGCAAACTGATTTGTGAAAGTCTACTTCAGGGGCAATCTGGTGACCACGAACAATGCAGACAGCTCTGAGAATGAATGTGCTTTCTTCCTTTCCATAAAGCATAGCACAGAGGTGGTACCACAGGCTTGCAGACCACTACACCAGGCACTGATTAATCTCTTCATTTTTAAGAGCCCTTCTCTGTTCATTACAAGGTATATCTATAATTGCATTTAATCAAACATTATGTCATTTTGAAGCTCCTCAACAATTCACAGCCTGATAATTATCTTTTCTCATGTTTGTCAATTTTCCTTTCTTTATACAATGAAAATTCTTCACCACCCACTTGTCTGTTTCTCCTCAATCTCCTGTTACTATCCAATCTTCTGTCTTTGAAATTAAACCAAGTTATATTATCTAAAGCCTACTCCAGTCTTTTACAAGATTTAGCTCTACTGTGTTTCATACTCCCTTCCTTATTAATGCCAACAAGAATTTCTGTTAAATTTAATATATTTAAAAGTAATGCAGACAACCTCTGATTTCAAGTTAATATATTTATCAGTGAAGTGATGAATTTTTAGCTGCCACAGAAAACAATACCCATGTATCTCTATTTTGATTTCTCCATGAAAAAGAATTGGAATGTCAAACTTTTGTGAAGTCCTGCATTGCTGCTAATCTTCTGTTTCAGTATGTATTTATAGTAGCTATTTTTTCAAGAAACCTCTCTATAGAAGCACCTGTAGTATTTTACAGATGTTTAAACACGAAGTCCTTTTTCTGTCAGACACAACTAAAGCTAATTTGAAGTATGCTGTATATATTCCTCATCCTATTATTGAAGCACATTTTCAGAGCACGACTACTGGAGACTGTATCTATTCAGGTGCAAAAGAAAAAAAAAGTACTTGGATCTGTGCTATAACAGCATTATAAATGCTGATACTATCAAAATATAACAGCTAATCAAATTATTTTAATTAAAAATATTAAAATGAAGAGACCCTGTAGAACAAAAAAAGATAAGCAGCAATTTGTCTCAGTTAAAAGGTTGAATTTCAGACTATTATCTATCACATTACTACTTCTAAATATGCTTAAGTGTTCTCCAGCACACTCACCTCTTTTTGACGGTACTTAATTGCCAGTTTCAATCTTGCAAGATCATTACCACTTTGTTCTTCTATCAAGCTATTATCATCTCTGTAATTAAGAATAATTTCCAATTCCCTGGAACTCCGTGTCTGATCCAGGAGATCTTTTGCAAATTGCTTGCACTGCCGAGACAGTTCCTCATACTCCGACTTGAATTCATTTTCGACTTTACTTAGTTCCTGCAGTTCCCAGCTCAGCTGAAAAGCAGTAAGAAAAGGATCCTCACTGGACAAAGCAATCAACGACGGGCTTGCCAGAGCCTTGTAGATGTTAAGTCTGGATCGAGAGTGGCGGAGACTGTCCACGTCTGAACTCGAGACACATTCGACACAGTTGCAGCGAACCTCATGTGGTCTGGGCACAGAGACCCCTTTCTGCACAAGGAGCTTTATGATTTCATAATTGTTGGTGTGGGCAGCCAGAATAATGGGTGTGATATCTGGTGTAAATTCCGAAAACTGCTTGTCCAGAAGCACTGGTGGCACCTGCGAAAAAAGGCAAAAATCCTTACAGGCCTCTTCGTTGTACAAGAGTCAGAGCAAACAAAGCCACAGTTTACCAAGTAGTACATTTACTGATTAATCTTTGCTTCTGACCACAGTTGAAGGAAACATAAGAAGTTTAACATAATTCAGTTAGCTAGGATAGTCTTCTTCTATTTAATATATTGCTACAAACAGGGTCTGTTTTTTCATAAAACCTTCCTGTACAGGCAATGATTTGTTAGAGCAAATGATTAGATAAACAAGGAAGAGCCAGACCCAAATGCTCCTGTCAGATCTCTTGAAGTGCCAGCTGTGAGCAAGATGGAAATCCTTTCTCATCTCCCACTGGTTAATCTCAGTTTTATAGGGAAGATGAAGTCATGGGGGCAGAATTGTGATTCTCAGAAGGAAGCAGTAAATAGGACACAAACAAGATAGTTATATAATAAAATGGCCACGTAAACGATAAATAATGTTCTCTTGTCAAGAAGGCTGGAAATATCACTATGTAGAGAAACAAAGATACCTGCTGCAAAGAGGTTCAGTTCTACATTCACATGTGCAAACATATGCTCTTTAAAGGAAAAGGTGTTATAGCAGTTTATAGGAGTTGGTAGCCCAGGGCCCCAAAAAGAAACACTAGAAGAGAATTTGTAAAGCCTCTTTTGGTGTGCATTTCTGTAGTTTCTATATTTTCATTTTAAGCTTGTTTATTTTACAATACCAGTCTCTAAAGTCTTTCCCAGATTGGTATAGATGCACTTCAGATGAACTAATGATTCCAACACCTTTTTTTGACTGTAGTCCTCACTTTCTACCAGACCCTTCTCAGGTGCTTCCATGATTTCTAAACATTGATCCTTTCTCTCAAATGAAATGACAGAGTGAGAATCCTCCCTAGTCCACCATCCTTCAAGCCCTGGCTTGTTTCTCTTGGGCTTGTTCCTAACAGGCCCAGTTATCTTCCCTTCCCCCTTAATATCTAGTTTAAAACCCTGTCAATGAGCCCTGCTAACTCCTGCCCCAAAAGCCTTTTGCCCCTCTGGGACAGGTGTATCCCACCTGCCACCATCAGGCCAGGTGTCTCGTATAGCAGCCCATGATTGAAAAACCCAAAGCCCTGCCTATAGCACCAGTCATGTAACCATACATTGATCTGCACTCTTCCTGATTATCCCTTCATCCTCTCTTGCAACAGGGATGGAGGCAAACACTACTTGTGCTCCAGACCCCCTAACCAGCCATTTCAGGGCCTTGAAGTCTCTCTTCATTTTCCTTGGACTCCTTGTAACAATTTCATCACTGCCAACCTGAAAAACTAGCAATGGATAGTAGTCAGAGGGCTGCAATGGTATTGGTATTGGTATTGGTGGTATTAATGGTATTGACAGCATCACTTATGAATTGCCTTTGGTCCACGACCAAATACAAATTCAATCCATATCAGCAAAGTGTTTTGAGTGATGCTTCTTTAGGAGGAGGAAAACCTTTGACTGAAAGGCATCTGAAGGCTTGAGAACTAGATGGTCACTGGGGAGAGGAAAAGATGTTTGACAGAAGTCTTATGACAGCATAATGATCTTGTTGTCAGGTGGAAAAAAAACACAAGTAGCTAAGAGAAGTTAATAGAAAACAAGTAAAGCATGTGAGAACAATGCAATAATGAGTTGAAAGAAGCTATTTTTAGAGCCCAGAGAGGGAAAGAAGTGGAGCAAAAAAATTAAATGCACAGAATCAGTGGAAAAGAAAACTAGAATGAAATTAAACTGAAAAGAAATGCTAGTCTGTGGATCTAAATCCATAAATAAAATGCAGAGATAATGGATTTTTTTTTCCTCCCTCTTTGTAATGGAGAGACTGTGTGTTTTGTACATTTTTTTAGCTGTTCTGTTTGTAAAACACCTAATGTTTGTTCAGTGGGACTGCATCCATGTGTAAGAGTTGCTATGTGTGTGGGCTGTAAAACGGGCCTGAAGCACTAATTAGCTAAATGAGAATACTACTTTGGGAGGTGGCCACTTATTACTGTAAAGTAGGGTGAAGAGTCAAGACTGGAGAGACAGTGTTTGGGATCACACATCTCTAGGGAAACAATCCCTGGCTGGCTCTAGCATATTTCTGACCTTGAGAAGCTATGCTGGATTCTGAGAAGGTATGTGGAGTCAAGAGGTGAAATCCCTTTTCTCCCTTCCCACACACTCAAACATGCACACCTGCCTTGGCACTGAGTAAGACTGGTATGGAGTCAATCTGTTTTAGAGTAGACCTGTGGTATGCCTGAGATAACCTCACAACCCCATGGAGAGGCAGCAGTCCTCCTGCCAGTCCTCCCCACAAGCTTACAGGAGATGCTAACAACCAGGGGCTGTGAGCTGGGCAGCTCCTGAGCTCGTCATGCCCCCTTCTGTTTTCCTCTTCTTTAATCTGAGGTGCAAACAAAAAGTAATGCCTTCGTGTACTGTGAGGGAGCATAGAGAAGCACATGGGTTTAAAATTACTCGAGGGGTAAGGAACTGTCCTGGTTTGAGCCAGGATGAAGCCAATTTTATTTTTACTGATTTTTTTTTTTTTTTTTCTTCAGTGAGCTCTCTTTTTAAGTAGCAGCAAATTTTCCAGCTAGTGGACTGATAATGCTAGAATGTTTATAGATACTGCCAAGAGACTGAGGGCACTTTGCTCTGCTTGTTAAATCTGCTGCTTCAGATACTAAAGGAGCAGAAGACTCATATCTACAGTCCTCCTGTAGGGAGGAGCAGAATAGACAGACGGCAAAGTTGGCCAGAGAATATTCCATGCCATGCGTAATTCAGGGATCACAGAAGTCAAGCCCCTTCCTTCCTTCTTCTTCCTTTCTCTACCATTCATGACTGGCATCTGGGGAGGACTACATCTATCTATCACCGTTCAGCCCTAGGCTCATGCGTTCATCACCCTGACAACTACCCACAGCTCCTGTCTAATTGGCCTCTATCTCTGAAAATGGTCTGGGACATTTTGGAACTGCTCACAGCTAAGGAGAGTGCCATGGGAGTTGCTGAAGGTGGGGGCAGGCAGTAGGGTTTTGCACATTCCTGAACATATATACTGTATTTATTTTCTTTTATCATTAATATTTAATTAAAGCTGTCTAGTTTAGTTTTCAATCTGGAAATCTCTCTCCTTGTTCTCTCTCTCCTTTCCCTCCCTGTGTGGGAGAGGGAAGGGTTCAAGAGTATTATTGGCACTGGTTTAATTGTCCATCCTGAGTCAAACAGTGACAATAATTTATTAGTGCCTCATGTGGGGCTGTATATTGAGTCCAAGCTATACATTCTGACTAACTCGTGAATGTTTAGAATTCCAGCTCTGATGGGAGGATTCCCTCAGATAGCTATGGGCACTGTATAGGGAGGATTTTTATGTGAACAGAAAGATCTATATTAGTAATGGCAGCAGCAGGTTCAGTTTTACCTCTCCATTCCCCCTCAGGCTGAATCTCCCAGCTTATGATCTAAATAGCATTGTTTCAGTAGGGATGCTTCTACTGAATTATTATAATTACTGTGGATGCATAGAGTGATCACAATTTGCTTCTCCACTGGCAAGGTTGCTGCCACCACTGCTGCTGCACCAAAGACTAGGGCCACTCCCACTCAATCCAAACAAGGAAAAGTTAAAGTTAATCCAGTGACTAGGAGCAAAGGAAAGAAGCAGTAATCCAAAACCACAATAATACAGTAAACAACCCCTTTTTAAAAGCGATGTTAGAAGATGTAATTGAAGGAGCAGACTCTTCTCAGATAAAGGGGCAGACCCCTTCCTAATTCAAACCATGACAGGAACCCAGCTGAAAATATACTGAAGGTATGTATGGCTGAGGTGGACACTCAGGTACAACAATAAACAGGTCTGTGCACTGTGTCCAGTCTCAGCTGTGGTGAGGACAAGAAACAGAATCTGGGCATATGTTTCTTCAGAGCATTATCTGGCTATGCCTACCCTGCTCTGTTTGGTCTCTCTTAATACTGAAAGCCTCCAGAGCCCCTCTGGTCATCTGTCACCTCCAGGCTGAACACTGTAGAGAGCCCTCCTGCGGATGCCTGTGTGCCCAGACCACTTCATTAATCCTGTCCAGTGTGGACAGTATCTGTTTTCTCACCTTTCTGTGACATCAAGAGGGAAAACAAGGTCCAATTCCAATCCCAAAACTCAGTGGTTATTGTAATCTTAGATTTATCCTCTCTTTTACTAACATATTATATAGAAAATAGAGAGCGCATGCATGTGCACAAACACACTTTATGGGCTCTCTAAATTACAGCTATGGTCAATATTTCTGAGGCTAGAAAGAGATTTAAAAAGCAGCAGAAGCTCAAACTTTGCATTAGTACAAGCAAGTTCCTGGGTTATCATAGGTCTGAAAGAGGTTTACAGGGAGGGATGTGTTGTGCCCAGACTGTCAATCACAGCTAATGAGGCTCCCTCTTAGCCCCGGAGTCTGGGTGCCAGAGATTATAGGAGAGAGCTGGAAGGGCAAAAAACTCAAGGATACAAAGCTATAAATGAAAACTCATCGACTACTCAGAGTATTTCTCTGTCACATAGCATGTCATTATCTTTGTACTTTCTGACAGTACTAAACTAATATTTGCCTCAAGCCCTGCCAGAACTGAAAGCTATCTTAACATGTCATTGACCGCAATCTTCTCTGAAAAACTGAGACACAACTTCAAAAAACATAGCATTACAATGTTTGACTTGTATATGTGGCCCATTAGGTCAAAAGTTTCTAGTTTTTCTCATAGCTTATCTAAACCTTTCATCTTATGGTAACTCAGCTATGAGGCTAATGCACATATTATGGAATTCATATCACCAAAATTTACTTAAATATAGAAGTGTGTATTAAATAATTTCAGCCTTAACTTACATAAACATTTAAATTTAAAGGGCAAACCCAAAGGCTGCAACTTTAATTACATCATGAGTTTAACCCCTGACCCTTTACCTCCTATTTTAAG